AGATGATGATAAATAACATAGTTATGTATAATATATTACATTTCTGACTGTATATCCCTGTAATTATTACACACTGTAGCTTTAACTTAATAAATTAAGTTGGACAAACTTGATTCAATCACTTGTACAAATTGAAGCGATTAATTTAAAGAGAAAGTCCGCTCATATTCAGAATCCAAACTTCTGAAAGTCCTTTAAATCTGAAATGATTCCATCCTGTTCAATAAATGATCAGTGTTTTTAATTCAGAGTAATTTTCATGTGAATGTGTTTTACTGGAGGCATCCATGTTCGTCAAAGAACACTACTGCCACCTACTGGTTAGTGACGTCACGGTGCAGTATCGGCTGTTGATCAAGGCTTTACGTACCGTGACGTCACTGCTGGAAATTGTCAGGAGCGAGGTGTTACTATATTTGGGCAAAAATGGCTGCTCTCAGACTCAGTGATCACATAGAAAATTATTGTTTTTATTTTTTTACTGACTAACCCTAAATTCATTAAATCACCGCAAACGTATTAGTTTTAGGTATAGATACTGGGCTTCTCCTTTAAGTTGGGGCAGCCTTTTCTTTTTAGAATGTACCGATGCTAGAGACTGCCCACTAAAACGCTTATAATTACTGCATGTTTATTAAAAATAAAAAAGTAACATAGTTATATTTCAAATTTTTTTCTATAAATTGTTTATTATTTAATCCATCATTTTAATTGCATTCAATTAATTAAAGGTACATTCTACAATTGAATTTGAGTTATATCTTCAACGAATAAATAAATTAGAGCTGAAGTGTAGAGAGTTTAAAATGCCTTTAGCTGACAGAGCGACCCACTTAGAGCAGGAATTATACCAAGATTCTAAAAAAAAAAAAAAAATGAAATATTTTTTTATTTAAGATAAAAAAACGTATTCATCTGTCAATCAGCTCTAACCAGAACTCCTCAAGTGAAAAAGTTTAAGTTTCACCTGGTTTAATTTCATAAACGTATTCTTAAGGAATCTATTTCTATCCAATTATTAACCAATTTATCGAAAAAAATAATCTAGAGATTAATCAAATAATAAAATAATCATCAGTTGCAGCCCTAAAATAAATGTTTATCTGCATATTTCTTGGAACATTTACATTTAGGTATTTCATGATATATTTTAGCCCTCCATATACATTTAGAGATCACATTATAATGATTCTGAAAAGCATTTTTTGGCCCCGACTCCACTGCTTTGGGAACCACTGATATTTGGGACCAGACTGTTTGCAGAACCATCGCAGCAAGAACTTCCCGACACAGCAACTTTCAGCAAGGACTTTGCATGTTCTCCTCCTGCATACATGGTTTCTCTCTGGGTACTCCACCTTCCTCCCACAGTCTAAAAACAAGGCTGTTAGGTCAGTTGGGGATTCCAAATTTCTTGTAGGTGTGTGTGCATGGTTCTATGGCTATGTTCTCAGAGCAGCATTATGACACCCAAATTTAGATGTTTTTTTTTTTGCAAAATGCGACTTGGATCTGATCTTTTCATGACAGTCTGAACGAGACAGATCTGATTTGTTCCAATGCGATCCAGGCCACTTGACTCTGTGGTCCTGAGGCCCCGTCCACACGAAGTCAAAACAAACACGAAACGCTAATAGTTTGTCGTAAAGACGGAGACGTAAAATAAATGTGATCGTCCACACGAATGCATGAAAACGCTGCGAAATGTATGCCAGGCCTGTAAGTGGCGCTGTGGTTCCAAAACAAAAATAGGCGACGAAATGTTGCGCATGCGCACTAATATTTATACATGGTTGCCCTGCGGGTCCATTTTCGTGGTTCAGTCAAATTCAGGTGCTGAACTATGTGGTCGATATTGCTCTGTTCTTCCTGGAGATATTCCAGAAGAAGAAGATTCTGTTGTACGCCCGACACCAGGGCGAGTAGCATTAGCAGCAACCATTCAACACAGTACGGCGCCATTGTTGTTGTGAGGGTGCGTCACGCATGCGTGTTTAGCGGC